TTTCTGTTGTATGTTCTCAGCAATAGGCCATATGTCTGCTGTCTGAGGATCAACCTACCTAAGCTTTGAGAGGTTAATCACCTTTTTTGGGGGCATTTAATGATAAATTCTTCATCCATGCCAACCAATGAAACAAAGAAAAATAAAAAAGAGTCCTCAGTCCTGTGCAGCCCCCCTTTACTTCAGCAGTGATCATTACAGAGTTGTAGGAAAATTAGAGGATGGCATTAAGACTAATACAGTTTTTAGAACATCTAAAAACACGAGCTTAGCTGTTGGCATTCTAAATGAGAGGTCTTTGTCCAATGACCATCATGTGGACATGTTATTGGGGGAACTGAACCATAGCAATCTTGACATTCTCAACATAAATGAAATCAGAAAACAAGAAAGTCATAGCTAAATTGGTAGACTGACTCACGTTATATTTGGAGAAGCAAATACAGGGGTTGGCTTTTTATCATGATTCCAAAGGCAATAAGAAACATAATTTCATGGGACATTGGATCATCTTGAGTTGTAGTGCTCATTGTAAGTATTTGCAAAAAGGCCACATAAAAAGAACCATGCATCAAAATCTACCACAGAAGATGAAATAGAAAAATTCTATGAATACTTGATAAGACATTCCAAATTAAATCAACATATACTTTGAGACTTGATGCCTTCAATGCAAAGGTGGGACTAGGTGAAAATAGTGGGAAATTTGTTGGAAGATATGGTTCAGGGGTCAGGAATGAGAGAGTCCAAAAACTTATAGATTACACAGAAGCCTCATATCTATACACAACGAGTACTTCCTTTGAGAAGAGAATTGGGAGGTGGTGGATATAGCACTCTTTTACAATAACTGAATAACATAAGCAAACATGATATTAATTCTATTTTAACAGACAGGAAGTGGCTCATTACTGAGGTGGGAGTAATTTCTGAGTCAGATGTCTGTGCGTAGATGACTGAATCATTGAACAAAAATAAAAGAGCTAAAAGGAAGAATAAAAATCTGAAAAAAAAGATAGCATTAAATTGAAATAACTTCATTTTAACCAATTTAGATAAGTTATTGATTTATGAAGAAAATAGGATATGGATAGAAGAAAGGACAGACACACATGCTATGATAATTTCATACAGGAATTTGACAAATTTAGAATTTGAAAATCAAATGCCATAACAGACCAAAGGAGCCTAAAGACCACCTTAATCAGAAAACACAACTTGCCAAGCAGAGAGAGACAGAAGTTAAAGATAAATCTAGTTTAGGATAGGAACTCATTTGTGAAATCTTACAGAGAATGATGGTAACAAAGTATGAACAATATTGTCTCATAAAATGGTGGCAATCAATGGACGGAAAACCCAGTTTAAAGGGTCAGTCAATCAGCAAGTTATTATTAGGCATTTTATTACCTTTCCAGTCTTCTTGCATTTTACTCCCTTCCATGTACTTTGTGATTCGTCAATACTAGACTTCTTGCTGTTCCTCAAATAGGACATCTCTTGACTGTCCCCCATGTCTAGAGTGTCCCCTCCTTCTCTCTGACTCCTAGTTTTCCTGGCTTCCTTCAAGACTCAACTCAAATCCCACCTTCTGCAGGCCTTTCCTTGGTCCCTCTCCTCCCCTTCCCTTTAAGATTACTGTCCACCTACACTGTATATATCCTTATGTACATAGAGGTTTATACACTATCTCCTTCATTAGAATGTGAACTCTGTTTTTGCCTTTCTTTATATCCCTAATATTAAGTACAGTGCCTGGCACAAAGTAAACTTGGACCATCACTTCATGGGGTACCTGAGCCATCTATACTCATTTCACTCCTGGATCCACTCCTAATTTTCTAGACTTTCCCACGTCCTCCTCTCCACCCTCCTCCAACTCCCAGTTCTTTTTTATGTGTTACTATCCTCCGTTAGAATGTAAGTTCCTTAAAAAAACCCCAAAAAACAAAAACAAAAAAATAGGGCAGCTAGGTGGTACAGTGGATAGAGTACTGGCCCTGGATTCGGGAGGACCTGAGTTCAAATCCGGCCTCAAATACATAATGGCATATAGTATGCACTATTTATCATAAGTTCTATTTGTCTGACCATTTAAAAATTAATACATGTTTTTTGATTGACTGACTGACTTGACACCTACCATGTACCAGGCACAGTTCTAGATGCTGGGGATACAAAGACCAAAATAAAATAATCTCTGCCTTCAAGGAGTTTACATTCTATTGGTTGATAGAATATGTAGGTAAGTATGTAGCAGTGGTTATTGGTATTTGTTGCTTGAGCAAACACATGATGACAAAAAGCTACTATGAATTCAGTAACACTTTTGAATTTGTATTTATTGATTACAGTGATATCTACCTAACATTTGAAAGATAGTAATATACATGTGAGACATTATAGATTATAGAAGGAATGTTTGCTTATTTATTACATTAAACAGTGCTGCATATTTTGATGGGGCTAAATAAAAATAAAAATAACACTGCTTGGAACAGGGATTTGTGGACCCCTTATAATATCTTTATGGCTTCCCAGGAGTGGAAACTTCTCCTAGCCTCAGTTTTCTCATATGTGAAATAGGTAATAGTAGCACCTAAATTACAGGGTTGTTGTGAAGAGCAGATGAGATACTTTTAAAGCACTTGGCACAGTGCCTGGCACATAGTAGGTGATTAATAATATTTGTTCCCCTTTCCCTCTTTTCTTCACCCCGCATAGCCAGTTGCCAAACTTTACAGTTTTTACCTTTAAAACCTCCCTTACATCTGACCCTTTCTCTCTAGTCACACAATTATTATTACCTCTTTCGATTATTCCAACAATCTCTTCCTTGATTTCCAAATCTCTTCCCATTCCAGTCTATCTACAGATGGGAAAGTAATTATTGTCTTTAAGTGCATATCTGACCATATAACTTCCCTTGTCAATAAACTCCAGAGGCTTCCTATTGCCTCTAGGATAAAATAAAAACTCTTCTGTTTAGTTTTTACAGACTTTCACAACCTGGCCCCAACCTATCTTTCCAGCCTCATTCGGCATTACTTCCTCTTCCAAACTATATCATCCAGTTCTCTGTTCCTCAGACACAATGCCCCGTTGCCAGTCTCGATACCTTTGCGTTGGTTGTCCCACATACTTTGGTATGTTCTCCCCTCCCTTCCTCCTGCCTCATTGAATCAATTTCTTTAGGCCAAAGCTGAAGGACAAATAACAACAGACAACAATTACATAGCATTTTAAGGTCTACAGAGCACTTAACATGTTAACTTTTAGATTCTCACAACAACCCTCTGAGGTAAGTGCTGTTATTGTTCTCATTTTATAGATGAGAAAGCTGGGGCTAAGAAAAGTTAAATGACTTTCCCAGAGACACACAGTAAGTGACAGAGGCAGGATTTGGATTCAGGTCTTCTTGACTCCAGGTCCAACACTTAATCTATCCCTTGTGCCACCTAGCTGCTCAAACCTCATCTTCCACATGAAGGTTATTCTGATTTCTCAAACTGCCAGTTTCCTCATGCCCCGTATTTGATGTAAACTCCTTGAAGGCAGAGATTATTTTATTTTGTCTTTGTATCCCAAGCATCTAGCACTGTGCCTGGCACATGGTAGGTGTTAGTCAGTCAATCAAAAAACATTACTCCCCCTATTTAATTATTTTGCAATTAGTCTTTTGGGACACTGTTATTTCCCTGATCAAAATGTAATCTCTTTAGCAATAGAGATTGTTATATTCTTTATACTTATATTCCCAGCACCGAGGACAGTGCCCAGCACCTAATAAATGCTTGTTTGATTGTTTGACAATTTAGTCCAACTCCGTCATTTTACACATGCGGAACCTGAGACTCAAAGAAATTAAATGTTTTGCTCATTGTCACATAGGTAGCAGAGTTGAGATTCAAAGTCAAGTCCTCTGACTCCAAATCTAGCATTCTTTCCGTGCAACCCAAAAAGTTGATTCTACCTTGGTTTTCACTAATAGAAGTATAATGTCATGAGTAAAGGAGGTCATGGTCAAATTGGATTGATCTTATCATGTCACAATTTGAATATCACGTCCAGTTCTACATCCTATATTTTAGCAGGGGTATTGCCAAAATGGAGGACATTCAAAGGGAAGAAAACCAACATGTTGAAGGAGACTATAATCCATAAGGTAATGATCAGGTGAAGGAACTAGGGATTTTCATCCTAGAGAAGACTAAAGATGGTGGTATGGGTCATGTTAATAGACTTCAACTATTTAAAGGGTTGTCATGTGGAAGGGAGATGTGATTTATTCTAGGGCAGAACTAGGATCAATGAACAAAAGTTTAGGGAGACGATTTTTTTTTTTAGTCAATTGGTGTTAAGTGACTTGCCTAGGGTCACACAGCTAGTGCTGACTCCAGGGCCGGTGCTCTATCCACAGTGCCACCTAGCTGCCCCTAAATGACACATATTGCCTCTATATACAAAAAAACGTCCTAACAATTAGGATGTCACAAAATAGAATGGGCTGCCTTTGGGAATGGTTATTCAAGTCAAGTCAAGTCAACAAACATTTTACTAAATGCACTTATTAGTGCCAGGCACTGTGCTAAGCATTAGTGATACAAAGAAAGGCAAAAACAGTCCCTGCCCTTAAGGACCTCACAATCTATAGAGTTAAGCTTTCTTTCAACAAAATATCTTCAGTCAGAGGTTAGATGAACACTTGTGTCAGGGATATTATAGAAGGAATTCATGCTTTGGGTGACCTCCGAGATTCTTTTTGTCTCTGTGATTCTATAATCCCTATGATGTTGGTGGGTAAGACAAAGATAGGCAAAAAACTAAACAAGGGGACATTCCTTGTCCACAAAGACAATCTCAATCAAATTGCATCTTTCCTTTCAGCAGGGACAGGCCCCAAAGGAGACTTCAATAGTGATTTTAAGATTTTAATTTTGTCCCTGGTGTCAATTCAAGCCCCCACCCTCAAATCTTTCCATCATTCTCTCAGTCTCCTTCTATTGCTCAGGCTTGCTCCAAATATTAATGTGCCTGATCATTACTCTGCCACGCTGAGAGGTACTCACTACTAGCTTCAGACAGCTTACATTCTTCCCTGTCTTTTTATTCAGCATCTTGTGGTCCAGTTTCCCATTTACCAGTGACCCCAGCAGAATGTAGTGGGTACAGGCTTTGGGCTCTCCTTCGGGATCGTAGCCTAATTCTACTTTTCCATCCTTCAACTTCTCACTGTTTTCCTGGTCTCTGCCTGTTAGCACCTGCACCCGGGTTACTGTGGCTGCCTTGGCCAAAACCACAGTAAAATGGTTGCCAGCTTTAGGCTCCAGTGCCCAGAAGAACCCTCCCTCACCCAGGATGTAGGCCGTTTGGGGAGAAACATGATTTAAAATCCGCAAATTACTATAGACAGTGGCAGGTGGGTTGTTGGGGGCTTCCTCTCTGTCCTTAAATTTGACCATCTTGTACTCTGGTTTGTTGGAGCTGCTCCTATTGAAGGAGCCCACTTGATAGAAGAGGGAGGGGCTGAATTGGATGGGATGGTTCTGGTCAAGCAGCTTTCGGAAGTGGTAGAGAAGCACTTCAGGGGGTGCCTCCTTGTAGAGGAGGAAGAATTGAGCCAGCCGGGGGAGGTCACTGGAATGCAAGAGTTTGCCAACAAAACCCCATGTTGAGAATTCCATCAGCACCCAGTCATCTATCTCCCAGGTCACTATCTCTCTCCACATGCAGGTGATAAAGTTGGGCAAACAGTGCACATTATCTTCAATCATCAAGAAATAGTTAGAGAGGTTGGCAGCAAAGTTCATGAGTAAGGCATGGGCCACATTCTGATTAAATTGGGCCATACTGGAGTAGTCCTCGCTGAGGTTGGTTTTTGGGGCCCTCAGAGGAGGAGAGGGAGTAGACATGGAACAGATCACCAGCAACTGCCCTGCCAGTGTTTGTGGATTGAAGGTCTTGACAATGTCAGTGACGGTCTCATTGAACCAAGTAGAATCAAGGACAGTCAGGTAGACCAGCACTAGGATATCCTTCAGCTCATCCTCAGAGGAAGCAAGGAATAGTGACTTCAAGGTACTCATGAGGTAGTTGCCCTGGGGATGTTGCATAGAGGACAGACCTACAGTCATCAGTTCTGAAAAGGAAGCACCAGTGGTAGAGTTAGTAGCAGAAGGAGATGAAAAATGACTTGTATTTTTATAAATTTGACTCAGTTCCCTATATATTTGAGAAATGAGGCCTTTATCAGAGATACTTGGTGCAAATCCCACCCCCCCACCCTGTTTTCTCTTTTCCTTTTAATCTTGGTTACATTGGTTTTGTTTGTGCAAAAAACTTTTTAATTTTATATAATCCCAATTATCTATTTTACATTTTGTAATGCTCTCTATATTTCCTTTGGTCCTAAATTCTTCTCTTATCCATAGATCTGACAAATAAACTATTCCATGCTCTCCTACTTTTCATGGGTAGTGTTTAAGATACTCCCCGGGAACTTCATCTCTGCTCCCCTCTCTTCTCTTTCCACTTTTATCATTTCTATCTCCCTTCCCTGGGGGATGAACCAGATCAGATAATGTTACTTTACTTAGAGGTTTAAGTTAAATCTCCACTTATTTGTTCTTTGTGGAGGGTGATGATGAGAGTATGTATCTAGGACCCAGGAGTGGGGAGAATCTGAAGGGAAATATAAGAGTGCACCAGAAGTTGCTTATTTCAAAACATGCCAAGAAATAACTCTGACCCAGCTTCTTAGCATTGTCCCTGGTGCCACAGGGGATGGATGGCATTATCTCCCATTTGTCTTATTTCTAACTTGTATGTATAGAGCTATTTGTACATTGTCACTCCACTGGAAGATATGATTCTTGAGAGGAGGAACCATGTTTTTGCCTTTCTTTGTATCCCCAACACTTAAAACAGAGTAGGCTCTTTAATAATACTTGTTGATTAACTGACTGACATAGATGGATGAAACTTGGATTGGATGATATATATGTGTGTGTGTGTGTGTGTGTGTGTGTGTGTGTGTGTGTGTGTGTGT